CTTTTGTGCCCGCCCCGGGTCATCACAGCTTCTTTTGTGTGTATCATCTTATGGGAAATAAGTTTGTATCTATGAGCAAAGGTCTTTCCACATTCTATGCATTTAAATGGCTTGTCTCCTGTATGGATCCTCTTATGGGAAATAAGAGTACTTCTTTGAGCAAAGGTCTTTCCACACTCCGTGCATTTAAATGGTTTCTTCCCTGTGTGGATCCTTTCATGGGAAATAAGATGACCTCCTTCAGCAAAGGTCTTTCCACACTCCATGCATTTATATGGCTTCTCTCCTGTGTGGATCCTTTCATGGGAAATAAAATTACATTTTTGAGCAAAGGTCTTTCCACACTCCATGCATTTAAATGGTTTCTCTCCTGTGTGGATCCTTTTGTGGCTTCTAAGGCCACTGCTCTGAGCAAAAGTCTTTCCACACTCCATGCATTCATATAGTTTCTCTCCTGTGTGGATCATCTTATGGGAAATAAGATTACCCCTTTGAGCAAAGGTCTTTCCACACTCCATGCATTTATACGGCTTCTCCCCTGTGTGGATCCTTTCATGGGAAATAAGAGTACTTCTTTCAGCAAAGGTCTTTCCACACTCCATGCATTTATATGGTTTCTCCCCTGTGTGGGTCCTATTATGGACAGGAAGTGCTCTTCTATGAGCAAAGGTCTTTCCACACTCCATGCATTTATACGGCTTCTCGACCATGTGGATTTTTTCATGGGATGTAAGTTGCCTGCTTGTTCTAAAACATTCTCCACATTCCAAACACTTATAAGGCTTCTCTTCTGTGTCAATCGCTTTTTGAGATGTAAGGAACTTATTTCCAAGAGAAAGAATGAATGTCCCATTGTAATTTTGTCCACTGTGTCTTCTTATAGCATCTTCTCCTTTGTTTTGGGTTAAATAGTGTTCATTTACTTGTACTTTAGCTTTGATTAGCTTCACACATTTTCCAGTATATTTTTTCCTTATTTCCTCTTGTTGGGCAAGAAAGTCTTGCATCGGAGCATCAGTGGAAGATGAGCTTTCCTGGTTGAAATTCTTTGACTGGTTTCTATCATGGTTTTCGAATTCCATTCGAATTCCAAACTTCTCCGTTCCGTCCTTAGCATTGATCACTTGGAACAGTTCACAAGAATCTTGATTCTCTTGCCCATTATTACCTTCAAAGCAAAAAGGAAATGAAAATGATAACTGTTAGGAATCTGTACACCAATTACTTGGGTTAGCAATATATAAACCAACAATGTATGTTTGTAGCTTTAAGACAAAGACACTGCATTGATTGTACTATGTTCCGATTGGTTGATTGTATTGTGAATTGCCATAAGAGGGAGCTAGAGATCATAGCTTGCTCTCTCTGACATTCCTTATTTCTGACATTCTGTATCTCTGACATTCTGTTGCTATCTAAAGGTTTTCTGCTGTGCTTATACTTTGATATCTTTTACTGTAAATGACAAAGGCACCTGGTAAGAAGACTTTGTAATTGGATATTCTTTGGACTGTAAAACGTATATGATCTGGACTGTTTATTGGACTGTGCTATTTCTTAGAGTAAACTTTAACTCAATTTAGTGCAGCTGTATGTGGCTGAATAATTATTCATAACTACTCTCATAAACGTTTCCATGTGCATATCCTTGTTACTCAAGGGTTATTCTGTATGTATCATAACAAGGTTAGAGAAAAAGATCAAAGTGTAGAAAGTCAAGTGAATTTCCTTCTGAATTTCTCTGAAATTCCATGAGGTTGTACGTTTGCATGCCTACAGTGGTGTGATATAGACATGATGATTTTTATATTCATGAGTCATGAAAGCTTTGAAAATATCTAGACATACCTTTCTTTACAATTATCTATATATATGCAAATCTCACTCAGAGTCAGTTTCGAGTTAAGGAATAATCAAGGGAAACATCCAAGGAGAAATTAGGAGAAAACTTAAGATTTATTGAGGTAGCTTAATTTCCACAGAGACTTGTGAGAAATGAAACAATTTTGAAAAAAGCTCCTTCGTCCCCAGTGTACCTTGGAGCAGCTGCTCCACGGCGTCTATCTGGTGGGTGGGACCCCCACTTGGCCTGTTCCTTGATCCCAGCAATCATATTTTGGAGATAAATCCCATGCTAGAAGCCTCCCATTGCCTCGACACCTCCCATTGCCTTATAAAAACTTTGTGTTGAGATTGGAAATGTTAGAAGGCTTCAAGAATCGCAGAGAACTGAGACCTAAAGTACTTTAGTGCGAGATCACACGAGCAAGATCTCAGGCTAACATCTCATGTGATATTGCACCGCAGTACTTTAGGTCTGTGCTCTTTTAAGGACTGAGGGCTGCAAGAGATCCAGGGCAAAAGTCTTTGGAAACAAAGAGGCCTTCCTTCTCTTCACAAAGCGTTTTGCCCTGGATCTGGTGCAGGCCTTGGTTAGCAGAGAACAGAGGCCGAAAGCACTGTAGTGCGAGATCATGTGAGATCAATAGTGCTAGATTTCCCACTACTGATCTCACGTATCTCTCACTACTTTAGGCCTCTTTTTTTCTGCAAATGCACCAAAGCAGGCAAGGGAACCGATGGCTCACCACATCATCACAAGGTACCGTATTTTTAGGATTATAGAGAAGGAACACAAGGAAAAAAATAGTTTTGGCCTCCGCACATCCCATTTTTGCCCTCCCAGGTGTCCAGGTGCACTCTGCACAAAAACCAGAAGGCTCATTTTTGGCCTTCCAAACCCTCTGCACATCCTGTTTTTTTCCTCCCCAGCATCCAGATGCACTCTGCAGGCCAAAGACAGACCAGTTTTTAGCCCCCCATTTTTGATATCCCATTTTCGCCATCCCTGGTATACAGAAGCACTCAGCAGGCCAAA